AATTGAATTCATAGGCCTGCTCGTATATTCAATGTGATCAACATTGAAATAAATAGATTTTTATCGTCCGTTTCAATAAACGACGATTTAAATATGTGCTGACTATATTTATTAAAACCAGTGGCGATACAACTTTTTAGGTCTGGGCCTCATATTTCTGTATCTGTTTCGTGATCATTTGTTTTTTTCTACTAGCCTTCTGAGCCTGACACACGCTGGTTTTTGGGTCTAAGGCACGTCACGATACCATCCCTGAAATTATCAATGCGCACATAGACAGAAACAACATTTTTGCACAGCCAGCCTGCCATCGAACCTACAAACTGAGAGATGAGAGCCGCACGCTGATACCACTAGGCCCACACTAGCCCAACGAAAGTTCACAATGATAATAAACAAAGACTTTTATAACTTGAACCACTCGCCCCATACCGTAACCAACTCTACGCTTGCCAAAATAAAACATTAATACTATAACATATTAATATAATACACCTGCCATAATGAGAAGATACTTTTTGTATCCATCGTACATCCTACCTGGCCCTTTCAAGACATCAAAGTGAATTCCTTAATTACTTTATCATGCCACGTCGAAAATTCTGATAAAATATATGATACGAGGATAATATTCTTCATAAAACTTTAATTCGCGGGACAAATTGTGTGTCGCTTCATATTCGTATTGTTATTATTTTTTCGTTTTGTTATTTCAGCTTGTTGGAAATTGCAATGTTATGTTCAATATTATTAAAATAGTATTTATAATATTTGTGCATAATAACAGGTATTTAAAATGCTTGTTTTATTTATGTAATTATTTAGTAGTCTGATACTACTTGAGGTATATGCAAATTTTCTATATCTTCATGTATTCCTTCATTAATGGAATATAAATTTAAACTAACTGTATTATTTCCTTTGACATATTACTAGATAAATCCTAGAAAACATTAGTAAAAGTAAACCTTTGAATGGCGCCAAAACCCAAACACTGCCACGCATGCGCTAAATAGGGTCGAGCCACAGATAAGTAACATTGTTAAATAAGTTTTAAATATAAAATTCAATGTAAGCATTTCGTGTACTGTAATAAAGAACAAAAAATGTTTTATATTGTATTTTTTTTACAACCTATGTAATAAAAATCGTCTTATTTAAGTATTTCTATTTGACAGTTCCAATACAATACACATTCGTGATCTTTCAGTTAAGACTCACGGAATATAACTTCATTAAACGAGTGTTGACGCCTAGAAGAAGCATTAAGCAACAAAGAGTCATTAGTTTAATAACATAATACACGAGTGTGTTACTGAGTATTCCCATAATGAGATACAGTGAACAGAAGGGGAGTGAAATTACCTTACAAAAGACATGCACTCTGTGGGACGCCTATTATAGGAAACAAATTGTATGAATGCGATGAAATTCACCTCTATTTGTACTAGTTATAAGGAATAATAGCTAACGATGATCGGATCAGCTCCCCAGGGCTTAGACGTGATCAAACAAAAGATATGTAAATAGTATATGAATGTTTACAGCTTTTAATTGTCTAATTCGTTAAAAAGAAAAAGAAGTTTTTACATTTTGATTAATATTACTATTTAACAAGCGAATTATAAAAAAATGAAGGCACTCTTTTGTCTTTAGGACCAAAGTGAAATGGTTTATGGGCGCATATATCTAGTCTATATACTTTTAATTAATAAATATGTTTAACGGATATTAAATAATTAGGTACAATACTACTCGATGTTCCAAGTGTTTTTCAGTAAAATTCTTACCACGTTACTGTATGGAATTAAAACTTATTTTATAAAAACTTTATTTTACAACATATTGGCTTTAGCGTGCAACTGTCATCCCTGAGGTCGTAGGTTCGATACTCGGCTCTGCAGCAATGGACTTACTTTCTATGTGCGCATTTAACATTCGCACGAACAATGAATGAAAACATCGTGAGAGACCGGCTTGCGTAAGACCCAAAAAGTCGACGGCATGTGTCAGGCACAGGAGGCTGATCACCTACTTTTTTATTAGATTGACGAATGTTTATGAAGCTATTAGATGATCTTGAAACAGACTCAGTAATCTGAAGCACATACCTAAAAAGGTTGTAACGCCAATGATTTATTTAATGAATTATTTTTTAAATTTTATTTCCGAGTTTTTTAGGTTTTCTGCTACGACTCTTAAAGTCGTTTCTTACATAATGGGTTAATTATTTTTCGTCCAATCTAAAAGGTATAAAGTGGTAAATCACATATAAATTTAACGAGAACTATTAAAATGTTACGTATTAAATACTGTTGGTTTTAACTTTAATGTGGTCATTAGTTCATTAGCTACCTGCAAGTTACAACCATCGTTTTACGAGTTTTCTTATCAATTAATTTTTGGGTGACTAGTTTATTGTTAAGAGGTACCCAGAAGGAACGACTGTACCTAAAATGGTAACACTTCGTAATAAAAAAGAGAAATAAAAATTAAACTAAACTTTTTAAACGTATAAATAAATTGCCTTTCGGGCATATAAATTTAATTTTTTATTTTAAATATACTACACGAAGGAGTCAAGACTTCCTTCGAATTCTACCACTTGCCTCTAATATTCTTTTTTTTCCCCAATCCCTACAATCTCTATTATTTCATGTTCCCAGTAGTCGTCCTCTTTTCTACCCAATGGGCCATTCCAAGTAGAACCTTTTTAACATAATTTCTGACACAAGTGCCTTGAAAATCGCGGGTAATATGATGGGCCTTCTCGTTTCAAGTACTCATCTCAATCACCTTTTTCCACCTAATGCTCCGTTCCAAGTTAAAAGACGACCGGCATTTTGACATACCTATCAAGAAAATCAATATGCATGGCAATATGATGGGCCCATTTTCATTTTAACATATATACCTAATCGTTTCGAGTAGTCGTGGTTCGCGACAATGTCTCAAAAATTTAACGTGTTACGTAACAAGATATTTGATTTATTCGTGTTAACATCCGTCCAAGAAATTGTGTCCTTCGAAAGGTTTACGGTTAATCTGAATGCTTTAGAATATTAATAAATGCTGATTACACTTTATCTCTGAAAAACATGCGTTGGAAATTATCAGCCTTGGTAATATAAAATTCGGTCTTTATTTTTATACTGTATAAGTATTACATTAGGCTTCAAAAATTGTCTACTAAAGACCGAAGTCTCTTTAAATTAAATATTTGAAAGAATTATTTTTTTATATATTATAGGTATATATATGGCTTCTGTCATCATCCCTCCTTAATTTATAGAAAATAATTTACCTTCATATCTAAAAAATAAGTACAGCACACCTTGAAACTCCCTACTTGAAAAACTTGTTTTCAGCATCTGTTTAAAGTTTAGACTATGGTCGTAATAAATGTCAAAAACTCTCTTGTCTATGGAATTTGGGTGACATTCGTAAATTGATTACCGCCATATAATTTTTAATGGCGTTTCATGGCTGCAGTCTTCCCACTGTTTCATATTGTATTTACAAAACACAGCTTAGTTTGTTTTATAGACTTTTTTAAAACAAATAAAATGAAAGGTCCTGGTGAAAACGATTTAAACAAGTCATAAATGTTTAATTTATGAGGCCTGGCTTAATCAAAACATACCAGAAACACTACATTAAAAATAATATTGTTAGTCTGATTATATTATACATACACTTATACGTAAGTAATTTTGTTTTAAATATTAATTTTAAAGTAACACAAGTCATATGTTTGGCAAATACATACACTTTTTAACATTATTCACTGGCAAACGCCAACACGACGTTTAGTACCGAAGAAAGACTGGATTCCTAATATTCTTTTTTTAATTTACTTAACTTTCGCATTGAATATCGATATCTTTTTTTTGATGGTGGTATCACCGTAGTATAAGGATATTTTGTCTTTGATTATTTCTGCATTGAAAGATGATTTTATTTAAAAAATCGAACATCGTTTTAGAAAATTCATAGATTATTTTCCCCGAACTGCTTCAGTTGTTAACCCAAGATACGAGTATTTGTACCGTTAGCGTCTATTTAGTTCGTTCAATAGAGGTGTGTTAAGACGCGTAACGTTCAGTAATTGATACGGAACCACTTGACTATCTGAAATGGACACATTCTACTTTATGGACAATAAAATATTTATAACCGCGTTATCAACGCTGTAATTTTAATTGCGGCCCACCGCGCGTTAATTTGTGTTTTACGATCTAAACCTATTCTCTCTATTTCTATAATTTGAAGATTAAATTGTGTTGTATTAACAAGTATGTATTATGTCTGTATTCTTGGTGATCTTTATTAATTGGGTGATCGTCGGAAATGTAAGTGAGGTCTGATTCATAAGATTGTTCATAATGATGCACAATACTGTTCGTCAATTGTTCACGTGTTTAACGATAAGTCATACAATTAGTGTAAGCATCAAGTAAACAGTGCGCACGCGCCAGGCAGCTGCCCGCACTCCGCACCGACTTCCTCTGATCTTTGACTTGGACAATTGCACGCATCTGCCCATCTTGACAGCCCTCATCACCTTCACCAATTATGGCTGACCTCTCAACTTGTATGCGTAAACGTCGCAGACGTAGCTCTTTGTTATCTGGTCAATATTTCTAATGACATTCGGCATTAGTCTGTTACATGAATCTTTATTGTCTTGGACTTTGAGTTTTATTTGCCGTGGATGAATGAGTGAATGAGTTTGTAAGAAATATGTTACTCAATCCCCTGTTGTCGCGAGATTATGAATTGAAGTGGTTCGCGATCAACTAGGTCCTTCCGCTGCATCAGCTGTAACTTAATCATATTTATTGTTTATTATACTTAGCACGATAACGTTGCCCCCTCAGTCGGCCACACGTACAGAATTTAATATCAGAAGTTATCCTCTTTGGTGTCTCAGTCAAAATTTAGAATGACATTACGATGTCACAATTAAAAATGTTTAAAAATATAAAATTTAAAAACACATGATGACTCTGAGGCTTAAGAAAGCCGAAACGAATATGAAAGGTAAAAGTAAAAATGGCCACGCTACACGACGATCTCTATTTAGTTCGGAAGATCCTGAGAAGATGGCTGATGAATTAGACAAAATTAAACGACATACGATAAAGCAGCCAGAAAAGTCTAGAGAATTTTGCTCATACTTTTATGGTAGAAAAGAATCGACTGATCCATTTTATCTTGTTACATCTCATGCGACGTCGTCCCCAAAATCTGCGAAGAACACACATAATGTCCTAAAAGAACAAGTGTTTACGACATACCCAACTTTTGTACCAGGTCTGCATTGGAGCCCCTCCTTAGACAGCTTCACTGACGATGGTCAAGATGAGCAAGATTATGTTTGTAGAAGATGTAGAAATTGCAAAGAAACATTTGTGCCTGAAAGAAGAGTGTTCAAAGATAACATTATTAGGTTTTGTGATAACAGTACAATGACATTTAATGTAAACGATGCCGCCTGTGAAGTTCCACGTCCGCGAGCTGCCTATTCCTCGACTATTTCTATAACAGCATCCGATATAGCAGTTAGAGACGAACCCGAGCCCCAGGTACGTTTTACACCTACTCCTATTCTTAAAAAAGTTGAGGATGACAGCTTTAGCTTGAGGTATTGCGAGCGAAGTCCTGTGGAAGTAGCAGAAATAGAGGATGATGATTTAGATTACATGTACATAGAGCCTTGCCCAAAACCACGACGGGCGAGGTTACCCACGTGCCCAAAGCTTAATGAAATTTCACCTGAATGCTCTGAACCAAGGAAGAATATATATAATGAAGGCATTAGTGACGCAATAGCTAATAATTTCCCTAATTACCTCCCGTTGGCAAATAGAATGCAGGTACCAGCAAAGAGAAATTATAGTAGAACTTCTGTTTTCAGTAAAAATATTGAAATTCCTTTCGCACATCAGGGCAGCTCGAAATATCACCACGAATGTAAAGCAGAAGGCAAAAAGCAGTGTTACAGTATTCAGGAGGAAGTGAGGCTAGCATCGAAACCACGGAATCTGAGGCCCTCCCACCCCGGAGGATTGGAGCGCTGCGACCTTGCGCCGTGTGGCAGATTGCCCAGAAGAGTTTTGAGTTCCGAACGCGATATAGATTCATATATACTGAAACAAAATAGGAAACCAAAATTTTTTTGA